ATCATTGAAAGGGTATTCTTCTGCCATTTTTCTTATAATATATTACCGCACTTGAATACCCTTGATAACATACCCGAAAACACATCATTGAAAGGGTATTCTTCTGCCATTTTTCTTATAATATATTACCGCACTTGAATATCCTGATCACATACCTGGAGACATATCGGCAAAAAGTGTAGTCTTCTGCCATATTTATTATATATATACCGCAAAAGACTACACCTCGAAGTATATATATTTTTACTATAGTCTTCTGCCATATTTATTATATATATACCGCAAAAGACTATACTTGTTAACCTATCCGAAGTATATATATCTTTGCTATAGTCTTCTACCATATTTATACCACAAAAGACTACACCTGAGAACATATCATGAAAATATACCATCAAGCATATACCTAAAAACATATCATTAAAAAGTGTAGTCTTCTGCTATTTTCTTATAATATATTACCACAGAAGACTATACCCGATTAAATACCCCGAATGTATACCAAAAACATACCCGAAAACATACCATCAAAAAGTGTAGTGTTCTACCATTTTTCTTATAATATTTTACCGCAGATTACTACACTTGGGCCAAAATTATTCATTTATCGAGTTCGTGTTTTTTGTTATATATTCGACTAAAAATCAATGCATTTTTTTTTTGTACCAACTGAAAAATTTAATTTAAACTTTTCCAAACTATATTGTAATAATATAATCGAACAAAGAATGATACATATCAATAAAAAACTAAATACCAAAAATGAACAAACAAAGCGCACAACTCGAGCGGTACGGGGGCGGGGAAACTTTAGCCGGGATTCCAACTCGCAACGATATTATTTCGGAATGTGATAATGGATTAACAGCCATACTTCAACAAAGCTTATCTGATAAACAGCCTATATACTTTATGCCCAATGATGTAAGTGATGCCACTGAATATATAAATGGGGTATCTACATATATTCTACGTATTTACGGCACTTTGATTAATGGGCAAAAGGCTAGAGTCGACATTACAGGTATCAAACCCTTCTTCGATGTCGCCATGCCTGATAACGAACAGTTATCTATATTCAAACCAAGATTAGTAAAAAATATATTAGGATCGGAAAAGATTGATAAATCGAAGTTTGGGATAAAAGTTATCCACGCGTATCCAATTTGTGGTTACCATACCGAGAAAAAGGTATACATTCGCATCATTACATGGAATCATTATGATAGAACACGAATTTTAAAAGAGATACGTAAGTATGGCATTGAAACAGCATCAGATGATATTACCAACGTGCATTATTATCGAAAAATAGCTCGTGAAAAGAAGTTACCTCTTTCTGAGTGGGCAATATTAAATGATTATCATTATAGCGGAGCTAGTGTCAAGACACATAATCCTAGCACAAACTTACCACATTATTCCTATTATTTTCGTGTATCTGTAGATAACTATCGACCTTTAGGGGAAAATAAACCAAATAATCCGATAATTTCCAAAGTTCTCTCACATGACAGAATTCTTGTTCTCACCTGGGATATTGAAACATATAGTGGTCGCAAAATGGGAGATTTACCCGATGCAAGAAATGAAAAGGATCAAGTATTTATGATTTGTATGACAGTTCATTGGAAAGATAACCCCACCCCAAACCACTATTGCAAATATGTTTGGTTGATATGGAGACGAAACCAGATCCTGGGTGGATTACAGTAATATGTGGAAACCAAATTAACTTACTGAAAGCCTTTGCATTATGTTGGAAAAATTTAGCTCCCGATATACAGATAGGTTTTAATGATTCACAATACGACTGGCCTTTTATTATAGAAAAAGCCAAAAGTTTAGATATTCTTGAATGGATGTATAATCATATGTACCTGAATCATCAAACATTGAAAAAATTCTAAAATGGAACTATCGAAAAAGTGAGATAAAGATATACGATGAAAAATTTTATTCGAAGTATCTCAAAATTCCAGGGTGTATACCTATTGATGTTCGTGCTTGCTTCAAAAAGTTATACCAAAAATCAGAAGCAAGTTCACTGAAATATTATTTGGAAAAATGTGGATTGGGTAGTAAGGCGGATATGTCAATAACTACTATGAACAAAATATATGAAGATGCAATACTTCATCCCTCTAATACATCGGCTAAAAATATGTGTGAAGTTGCAAATTATTGTGTTATAGATGCATTGCGATGCCAAGAGCTTATGGTTAAACACAATGTAATCAATTACTATAGGGAAGTATCATCTATTGCATATGTATCTCTCTCTGATTCTCATTATTTTGCGGGGGGTATGAAAGTATGTAATCTTTTGGGAGCTGAAGCTTGGAGCAGTAATATGTTGTGTAGTATGATTGCTTCAGAAAATACAGAATCTGGTAAATACCCAGGAGCTTATGTTATTACACCGATAAAAGGGCTGGAAAACAAACGTCCAGTAACAGGTTTAGATTTTGCCTCTCTATACCCAAGTCTTATGATGACATATAATCTTTCACCAGATAAAATTATACTATCCCGTGAAGAGGCAATAAATGTAATCCGTAGTGGAAAGAAAACCCACATGATTAAATTTATATTCAATGGTCAAACTATAGAAGCTTGGTCTATTCGCCACAATAATATACCTGAAGAAAAGGGTTTATACGCCAGGGTGTTAGAAAGTCTATTTAATAAACGAAAGAAGATGAAAGAATACCTTAAGGAATTAGATGAGAAAAGTTTCGAATATAGTTGCTTAGACTCAAAACAAAAGGCAGTAAAATTATATATGAATACATTTTATGGTGAGGCGGGTAATAATCTCTCCCCATTATATCAATTGCAGTTAGCGGGTGGGGTTACTTCTGCTGGACAGCGTAATATTAAATTTGTTAGAAAATTCGTTGAAGATAAAGGGTTCGGTGTTAAATATGGAGACACCGATTCTTTATATCTCACATGCCCAGAAGAGTGTTTCCAGGAATGTGATCAAAAATATAAATTAGATCAACTCTCACAAGAAGAGTACTGGGAGGAAATGATAAAAATATCTATGGAAGTGATGGCAAACCTCCGTAATGAAGTAAATACTGAGCTTGAAAAAGACAATGGAACGCCTTACCTTAATATGGCATATGAGGTCTTATTTCCTGTGGTATTTACAGGAAAGAAAAAATACTATGGTATGGAACATAAAAATAAACCAAACTTTAATCCGGGTAAGCTTTTTATTAGAGGGGTGGATATCGTGAAAAGAGGTCAATCTAAGCTCTTCCGTGATGTAGGTAAGGAAATTATGAATAGAACTTTGAAAGTCGGTAATGAGGAGACAATACACCAGATTGTTGAAAAAGTTCTTTGGGAAAATGTAGAAAAACTTTCCAAGTTATATTATGATGAATTTATTCAGACGTGTATATGGAGGCCTAAAAAGGAAGGTAAGCAGGGGAATATTCCCGTAGAACGGTTTGTTTCGCGAATGGAGGCTAAGTATTCTCGTGAAGTATTGGAAAATCAACAGCTAATAAAGAAGGGTTTACCCGCTAACGAATATCTATATAAAGCTCCCAAACCCGGTGAAAGATTTAGTTACATTGTAGTAGTACTTGAAGAGATTTATAATAACTGCGGGAAAAAAATACCACAACAAAAAGGGGACTGTATGGAATACCCAGATGTGGTAAAAAAGTTCAACAAGAAAATAAATATTGATTATTATATCGAAAGTCCATTTGGTCTCTGTGCCCGTTTTATAAATTACGATGATAAATATCAACCATCATCTGAATCCCTCTCAAAAGTCTTGGATCGCAAAAAGAAATCCAAGGAGAAGAGATTAAAAATTGCTAAGGATTTATTGCAGATCAATGACACTCCGAGTCTAGATGAAGATGAAATAGCAAAAATTAGAGATGAAGAGTCACAGAAGTCAGCTAAAAAATGGCTCAAAAAATATATTAAGAACTTACGTGATGCTCCGAAAAAAGACGAAGCCATTATTTTCCATTTATGGAAAGATGCTATTATACATGCCGAAAAATTGTGCTCTACTATGAATATTAGCAAAGCGGGCATAACCAGGCCTTCTACTTCAGGCGCTTCTACTAGGTATAATAATTATCTTAATGCATTAGATAAAATTGCGGACTCCATTCGTTTGAAATTATCAGATATACTTTTAGAATTGTCTAAGCTAAATGTAGAATATAGAGATATGTTGTATAAATTAATTACAAAGGCACAAAAATGCAAGACTGATATTACGATTTTGGAAGAATATATATTTCGATTTAGTTTGGAATCAGAGTGTAAAATATTAATAGATTTCCGGAATATGTGGTATAGGGTAATTGGTCTTGAAATCACACGTTTTCAAGCAGTATCAATCATGCAGAGTAGTAAAAAAGACGACTAATCCGAAGCAAATATTGATGAGATTATCGACCTATATTGTCTCATGTAATGAGGATGCCTCGCATCTAAGTATTCTTAGCTAAGATCGCCACAATCTACTAAGATACTGATGTGTCTTTAGAGTCGAAGACTCGTGGGTTTGTCACAGACACTAGCTCCGCTATACGTTATTAATAATATTTTTTTCGTACATAAATAATATCCAAGTTTAAATGGATGTTCACTTAACCCACATATCCCGTAATCGATCACTTTTTTTATAACCCTTTAGAGTCACCCTTTCGGGCCTACGGAGCAATGGCTCTTCGAGCCTACCTATATTCCATGTACGTCTCAATACCACGAACCACATAACCGCAATAATTAATAGAATAAGAAAAATATATGCCGATAATGATGACATCAAAGAGGATGTATTATTTTCCGACTGTGCAAGGTAAGGAGTTATATTCGGTATTTCCATTGCGGAGTAGGCCGTTAGGCGATTCTTCGAATCATGACTCTTCGAGCCTTGAGATTGAGGTATAATATTCCCACTAATTTCGCTAATGCTAGTTTCATTACTTATCTTGGAGTTGGCCTCGGTATCATTTTTTGATAGTTCGGTAATCTCATCATTAGTATATGTCGATATATTACCATCGGTTTTTTCGATTTGATCCATATTTTTTATTGCAGAGCAATGGCTCTTCGAACCTCCGCGTATAAAATATTTACTTAGATCACTATCCTTGATTATATTTTTTTCGACATCTCCACAAACGACGGGCTTTGATATAGCCTCCGATTTCAGGTATTCAAGCTCATTCACCTTCGATTCCAAATCACCCTTTATACTTTCTAATTCCGCTATTTTGGATTTG